GGACAAGACACCATCTAAGGATCTCTTGAAGACTTACAACATTATTAAGGGTGTTCTTACCATATACAATTGCATTAATGATCCAGTTAAGATGGATTTATTTTCGATATGTCCTTCTTCTTCCGCCAACTCTATGATCCTTCTTTCCTCTGTCTTCTAATTGAGCCACTCTCCACAAGAGGTCCTGAGGCTTATTCATGCTGAATTAATTATCCACACATATTGTATTGTCTGGTGTCCCTCATTGTGCTTGCTTTCTGAGCATTAATTCTGATTTGGATTTTACTTTATGAGGTATATGTTGTTCCTTTGATTATTCCTCGATGGTCTATCTGTCTATCTTTGTTTGGTTTTAGAACTTTAAGGTGATTCATTTTGAGATGATGCTAGTGTTATTTATTGATTCCTTTTTATTTCATTTGTATTTAGAATTTAACTAACAATCTTACATTTGGTATTTGTATTTTACATTTCTCGAATAGGTTGCCAAATGTTCTAAAGGTAATTTCAGGATTCATGCCTCTGTCTTGTTTCTTCTTTTTGCAGGTCCAGTTGAGTTTTTCGCAATTCTGGCTGTGAATTATCTATTTCTGCTGATAATGTAGTAGTCATTATATCATAATAATGTGATGTGTCTTTTAACACACATTATATCTTACAAATATTTCGTTATAATGACAATTAAAACATCTATATTGACTTCTCAGTCAATATTTACAGATTAAAAATGACATCGATAAAATTTACAGTCAGCCAGGTCCCAATCGAGATAGTGTCCGCCTCCAGGCGATGACTCGATGGCCTCACCCAGTCCAACCTGGACGAAGGTAGATTCTTGACTTCACCGATGCGAAGATGGCCAGTTCGTCGTCCTCCAGGCCTGTCCCAGAAAATCCATACCCGGAGATCAGGGGGTCTGCCGACCATTTATATAGTTCATTCGTTATAATGGTGTTTTCTGACTAAGTTGCCTCTTGTGCTAGCTTATGTACACACACAATATACACAGATAAACATTTATTTATTTTTAGTTTGACTAGATCCAACGTAAAGTCTATATTTTTAGAGATCATTGAAATATGTCCCTATGGCGTGTCAGATGGTTTAGATCCTTTTATTACGTCTTAAGATGATTGTTAAGCAATCTGAAAGAGGCATTTTGGCATCAGACGGCGTTTTATTCATTATATAAGTTCTCCTATAGAAGGACAGAGATTCCTGAAAGCTTGAGATGGTTTTAAAATAGATAGAAACTCATCTCCGGAAACCTTTTTGATTGTTTAATAGAATCTGTTTCCCTATTCAATTCGATCGAAATACCATGTTCTAATTTTTGCTCAAGATGGCTAAATATTATCCTTCATGTTCTTGAAGAGACTAGAATTTCCTCTATTTAAATGGACTATGTTGGATGGTTATTTTTTTCAAGTGTTCGATTTTCTCAAAGTCATTAGTTTCTATTTTCCCTTTTTATTTCTTAATTGGCGGTTAGTCCAATTATTCTCTGAGTTAAAAGGGGATTAATTGGTGATTAGTCCAATTTAGCGCTATATAAAACGGCTTCGTTATGGTACCAAGTTGATATGTTGAATATGCACAGCGTTCTCTATATATTTATAAATGGAGTAAGTTGTAGAGCTTAATATTGTTTAACCACATACACACACAAAGCTTTATTAAGACCAGTGGTCTTATACAGATTCACCACAGGAAGAAATAATAGATGAAGCTCCTATACTCCAGGCAGCGCAGCACCCAACAACAGCCTCCTGGTCCGACGCATGTCAATGGCCACACGTTCCTTTGTGCATACGTCATGGTTGCGAATCACTGAACAGGCGAGTGTGAAATCAGCCGCGTTCTAGTCTTCGCTTTCCTCATCCAAATGAACCACGACATTCAGCGATTCAATTAATCTTCTCCGAACGGTGACTGCGGTCGTGTAGAATTTATATAAACCAAAAAGAAGAATATTGTGTAACCATTTAATATATAAAGGATTGTGTAAGAGCAAAGAAGAAATGATTGTTTGCATTATAATATTAAAACAGTATAAAAACATCGAGGCACTTCTACAAATGTAAATCTATTGTAGTAATAGAATCGCGAGATTTTAAATTGTGTTTTAGCATTAAAATGAAGAAATTTTTCTCTTCTAATAAATCTTCAGAAATAAGATGTCTATATTCGTCTCTATGCTGGTGACGCACACTTTAAGACTTGAAAACGGTTGAGAGTTGAGGCTTGATTTTTGGAACGATTATTCATGAACTCAATGAAAGGAGAAATCCATAACTTCAGGGTACTATCTATAATCGCTTTGGATTTACAATTCAAAAACTCTCAAAAACAATGATTTATATACTGGTGCATCTACGGCGCAAAGCACAAGCGGGTGATTCAGGCGGCTTCTCTTCAGTTGTTTTCTCGTATTCAAGATGGGAGTCGTATGTGAATTTTTATTGCTGACACATTTATTTAGACAATGAGCGTCGTAATGTTTTGTTGGTCAAATTTTAACGGTGACGTTTTAATAATACCTTGGAGTGTTACAATGCGTTATGAATGTACATGCTATATGTACAGCTATCAAAGTTCAATATAAAAATTAACCTCCTGGTTATCAATATAAATAATCAGTTTTTAAAAATAAATATATTTGATTCCTGTCATTTACTTGATGCGTAAACATGAGTGCAAGTCCACATTATTTTAAAATTAATTAAACTTTTTAAAATTTCAATTGAATATTTCGAATTAGAAGATTGTGTATGGAAAATATATTTTTCTCGAGTATTTTGTAAGTTCCTTTTTGAAAAATATAAAAACTGAACTCTCTCAAATATCAAATCAGAAATTACTATTTTTTAAAATATATATTCAAATATTTCCGTCACATTAACCATGAGTCTATAGACTATTCACACACATTAAAATTTAACAAAAGATAAGGAAAGATCAAATATGCGAAATAAACTCTGAGAGAAGAATTACAGAAAAAAAAAACAAGACTAAGAAAGAAAAACTACAAAGGAATGACAATACATCCAGATGGCACAAGAATCTATAGGACATGCAACAACTGTCCTGGTGTGGAACTAACACCTATCCACATATTCTCATGTCCAGCAATGGCCATAACTTTGCAGAAAATTGACATGGTCCCAGAACAGCAACTATACATACCCAAGATAGAGATCATTGCGATTGCTGTGATAGAGATGTACGGAGACATCTGAGGCTCTTCATTGGACACGGCAACAACATTATAATGTCTAGATAGTGGACATTGCGACTGCTGTGATATAGATGTATGGAGACATCTGAGGCTCTTCATTGGACACAACAACAACCACATTATAATGTCTAGATAGAGGACATTGCGACTGCTGTGATAGAGATGCATGTAAACATCTGAGGTTCTTCATTTGACACAACAACAACATTATAATGTCTAGATAGAGGACATTGCGACTGCTGTGATAGAGATGTACGGAGACATCTGAAACTCTTCATTGGACACAACAACAACCACATTATAATGTCTAGATAGTGGACATTGCGACTGCTGTGATAGAGATGCATGTAAACATCTGAGGTTCTTCATTTGACACAACAACAACATTATAATGTCTAGATAGTGGACATTGCGACTGGTGTGATAGAGATGCATGTAGACATCTGATGTTCTTCATTGGGCACAAAACGACAACAGCATTATAATGTCTAGATAGTGGACATTGCGACTGGTGTGATAGAGATGCATGTAGACATCTGAGGCTCTTCATTGGACACGACAACCACATTATAATGTCTAGATAGTGGACATTGCGACTGCTGTGATAGAGATGCATGTAGACATCTGATGTTCTTCATTGGGCACAACAACGACAACCACATTATAATGTCTAGATAGAGGACATTGCGACTGCTGTGATATAGATGTACGGAGACATCTGAAACTCTTCATTGGTTTATTGGACACGACAAAAACAGCACACACACTCTATATATAACAACAAATCAAATAAATTGAGGACCTATTTTATAAAAACTGAAATCGAATAAATATAATTTATATATTAAATATTAAATTTCTCATAAATGTGGATGAAATATCATATAATTATAAATAATAAATCATGTGAAAAATATATTTTGCGATCTAATAAACTATGTGGAATTAATATTCTATGTAAACATTTTAATGATCCAATTAAAAAAGCGATTAAATAGATATAAGAGAAAATGAATCGAAATTTATATTTATGCCTATTATATTATATTAAATCATTTTAAATATACATGTTATTAGACTCCAAGAGTCTAACATCAGTATCACTATAAAAGGAAGTTCCAAAAATGCAATATAACAGCGGTATGGTAGATTAAACTGGCAAAACCGGTGGGAGGGTTCACCACTAATGAGCCAGGCCCTCCCATTAATTTTTCGATTGCAGTATGGGCAGTAGATATTGTTTTATTTTTAAAAGAATCATACGCGTCTAAAATGTTTCTTATTTTGATACATGTTATTAATTTTTATTTTTCATTATTTTCGAATATATTTGGCCCTTGGTATAATTGAATATAACCCATTATATATAGGCCAAAATTATAGACAAAATATAGATGGAAATATTGCCGGTAGGATATTGATCTATGAAATCAAAGGTCGCCTCTCACGTCAAAATAGACGCCAAACCTAGGCGACATCTATTGACCCTCGCCGCAAACTTGCGAACTCAGGCTGGTGACAAAGCCGCAACATCAGTTTTGGCCAACCGAGAAGAGCCACCTCTTTGGCATATTGAGAATATTTCATTTATAAAACAACACTTAAAGTTTCACCGCATAAGTTTCTTTTCTGTGAAAAATCAATATTTATTTCAAAGAGAAATATTAACTATTTCTAACTTTTTTGGATGAAGTATGAACGCGTAGTCCTTTATAATGTATTATAAGTTACTTTAAGTATTATTTACAAACGGAAAAATACGTCCAGGGTAGCCTAGTGGACATGGCATCTGCCCGGTAAGCGTACGTTGTGGGTTCGATTCCCGCCCCTGGACACTTTTATTTTTCCGTTCGCCATTACTCTTCATATTTTCACCCTTTCATACTTCATCCAAAAAAGTTAGAAATAGTAAATATTTCTCTTTGAAATAAATATTGATTTTTCACAGCAAAGAAACGTATGCGGTGAAACTTTAAGTGTTGTTTTATAATCATACGCCGCAGTCCTTTATAATGTATTATAAGTTACTTTAAATATTTCATTTGTTCCCTTTTGGATCATGGAATAAAGTCCGCCCTGGACTGACGAGAGCCATTAACCCGAAACCATGGTCTCTAGGTGGACGCTTTTCGGTTTGACCAAGCTGTTGTTATAGCTTTGTCACCGAACACAGCCGCTAGTTTGCGGTAACGGTCAATAGATGGTGTATAATTTTGACATCTATTTTAGGAGGAGAGGCAATATTCGCTTATTATTGTTAAAAAGATAAATACACATTGAAAAATAAAGTTTTTATAATTCTTCTAGATATACACCTGTGTGAGAGGCCAATGTTCGAGTTGACTTGAATATAAACAGGTTATTATTCTCAAATCTATCCGTTACATGTTGGATGGATTAATAATGTTTGGATACATTAGTAATACATAAAATAACATTATGGGAACGTCCAAATCCCTAGAATTAAAAAAGTATTACAAATTACAATCCAAAACCTAAATAGGAAGCGGTAACGTCGATACTGAAAATAAACCGAAATACAAAATATTAATTCTGTAAACATAATGCACATATTTAATATATGTGTTAATAGATGATTTTTCTCAAATTAGTAAAATGGTATTATTACAAAATATACCTATATTTTGCAAATAATACATAAGTCGCTGCAATTAATTTTATTTACTTGATTAAAGAATGATGTCTTTAGTTATCTGATGAAGGGCTTGCACCAAATCTTCCTTTAACCAAGCAAATAAAAATATTTACGATTTCTTATGCCTTCTTTGTAATTTGTAGAAATCCGCAACCAAATGATTATGAATACCTATATTTTGTTTATTTTCGATTATATATGCCTGTTTCTATTCCATTTGAAAGATAGATTATAGGAAGGTACACTTACCATGTTTGAAAACAACTGGCTATAATGTTTAATAGTTTTCGATAATATTACAATCCTGCAAAAAGTACATAAGTCATGTGAAGGGGGTCGGTGGAAGGCTAATCTAAACCGTTGGTTTTTCGATCGCTACGACCCGAGTTCGATTCCTGCATTGTACACTTTTTTTCTGATTTAAAAAGATGCTCCAATGGCCCCCGATTCTTGCAAAATTCCAACCTCACCAGCGAGTGCAAGTAACCAAACAGAGCTCTGACACATTTGTAAGTGCAAAGTCGAACTCTTTTCACAGGTGTAGACAAGTGGTGCATTTATAGTAAAAGCAGTCGCCAATTTCTACCCACCATTTTTATCATGGCCTGTACCACGTGTACTAGGAATAAGCAAAATAAAAAAAAAGTCATGTGAAGCTCTTACTCTTTGTGAACGTAATCTTTGATATCAAAGAAAAATATCACAACTCACTCACCTACTATATGGGTTAGGAATTTTAGGGCCACAGGTATAATGGATGTTAATTAAATACATACTTCTAATCACAACAGACAACAAATTAGTTGTTTTTATTAAAGGTTGAAATCATGGCTTTCTAATAAAACTTAAATTTTCATCAAAAAAACAAAAAATATTAGATATCTCATTAAATAGAATAAATTTGATCTTCAGAGAATTTCTCCTTTGGGGACCTAATTCTTAGAGAAATACATTAGGAACTTAAAGTAATTGATTAAACTGATCACACAAACAACGTCTACATTCAGATGTAGAGAGAGGGGGCGTCTTCTGTTCCCAAATAGAAAACATTTAAACTGATCATTTTTTAATTGAAACAAGTTTAATTTAAATATTTATTGATTATCTTTATTATTATAAATATAAATTAATTGTTGATCTTATAAAATTTATCTTTTTGTATTTTGGAAAGTATATATATCGAAAAATGTTGGAATCGAGAGACTTCAATAAATTTAATCATGTGTCAATCTACGAAAAATTATAAATATTTTAAATATTTCAATCAAATTTTTCGAATACTCTTCAAAATCCTATTTTCAATATTGTTTTTTAATACTATTGAATTTATGTTAATTACAGAAGTTGATTCACCTTTAAAATAACGATTATACTGGCAAATGTTACTTTTATGAGTTAACAATGTGCATTTTACAAATCCCTTGATTAAGAGTAACTTCACACAGAGAAAACGCGTACACTCAGAAATACAAAAAAGGAAGGAGTTAAAGGAAAACACTCGAATTGTTTTAACAAAACCAATACTTATCTTTTATTTGCAGCGCTGATAAGGAGCGGACCAGGTTCACACAGGTATGCGAGGATATCACTAGACAAGCTCAAAGAAACTCTTTAAGCGTCTCCACACGATCGCTACTGATCGACTCATCGCATCCCGTTTCAACCCTCTTTTATGTACAAACATGGCCACATTCGTTCAATGAAAAGGCGTGGGAGATCAGTTCATTTAACAAATAAACCACATTCTTCCCGCATAGCTGAAAAGATTAAAACTTTTTACGTTTGTCAAATGATTTGTCAATCCGTGAACGAGCGGCACTATGTAAATATATACATATTTGTGATCTAGACTGGCCTTCTACCAATTCACAATGCACGACACCCATGCAGACGCTGCTACTATAGGAAGCTTCTGCTCACGCCGTTTCAGCGACACGCCACCCGCTGCCTAGCTGTTTATTACTCGGTTCCTGGAGATATAGAGGTTCACCTTTTACCTGTCTCTGTCTGGCATCAACTGGGCAGAATTCCGTTGTCCTGCTTCTCGAAGCACAACGGCTGTCCGCCTGTTCTTATAGGCTCTGCTTCATCCTGCTCATCCAGCCTCTGCCATAGACCAGGGTACGGCAAACCTTTGAGTTAGAAGAATCAAAAATTACAATTTACAAAATTTCAAGAGCCACATCATTTTTTCTTGCCAAAAATTAATATTACTCGCATAAATAATATTTACATATGGAACAATATAAAGAGCCGATCCAAAGAGCCTTAGTTTGCCGACCTCTGCTCTAAACCATTGGATTGCTTGTGGGTCTCAGAACCAATCGTTGGCTCTTAGGTATTGGTGATTCCCTACTGTCAGACATCTTATACGGGAGGTCATTATCGTTTTACAGTGACCTCTGGACATGCAGAGCTGAATATCTTAGAATAACTTGGAAGAGTGCGACATCCCTGTTACATCTTCGGCTAAAATCAGGTGCCAGGTTCTCCATGTGACAAGAAATCAGGGAATCTAAACAAACTTTCTAATTACACGGAGGTGGCCACTTCGTGTTTGGGGGAGCTTCTTCTTATGTACCTAATTGTAAATTTTATTTCATGAATTCATTGATTTTGTTTTAATTTGAAAATATATATTATAATTTTATCATACAAAGTGGAAATCGGGCATTAAAACTTAGTATAGTGTATTTTTAAATTTTCTCTTCTCTACACCAAATGATTAGATGTTGCATATATATATATATAATGAGTTCTTATTTTAAAATATTATAAATATATTTATCATAAATGCGTTTTATTGTGTAAAAAAGACGCTACATTTTTATTTATAAATTTATGTGTATAATTGTAAATAGTTTTTCTATGTTTTGCTTATCAAAATATTATTTAAAATCAAACTTTATGTGTGAAGGTCTTCGTAAATATTTAGTAAAAAATGGTTAATATTACATTATTTTTGGAAATTCAAACTATTTTTGATGGAGGTGAAATTCAAGACTCGAAACATCTACTTCTGGAATGCCCAATTTTCCGGGATTTCAGGGTAAATAAATTTGGTCGTATTGGACAGCTTGATGAATTTGTAGACGAAAAAGAAAAGTATAAACAATTTTATCAATTTTGTAAATACATATACAACTTTCTTTTGAATTGGAAAAAAGAGAAGGAAACTTAGAAAGAAAAGAATTGCGATGCTTGCTTTGTGTGTTTTGCTTTGTTGTTTGTTTTTCTTTTTGGACAATTTTCTTTAGTTAATTATGTAGAATAATGGATTGAACAGGATTGTATATAGCCGATTTGTTGTGATGTAGTGAAAGGTATTGACGCAAATATCCCTGAGTTTGGGATATCGCGTTTCATGATGTTAATAAAAATGTTAAATAAAAACTATTTTTAACGCCTATCATTCTATTATGATTAGAAGTATGTATTTAATTACCATCCATTATACCTGTGTCCTTACTTTTATGATAAAATGATGAGCCAAGCCCTCCTATTATTTTATCATTACACTAAGGGCAGTATAAAATTGATTTATTTTTAAAAGAATCATACAAAAATATTTCAATATTTTATATAACAGATGGCGTGCTAATGTATAGTATTACACTATTTGTGTTTGTGATTTGAAATATATATTTTATTTGTTTTATTTTTCAGATATGATGTTTGAAACTTTATAACATACTATTTTTTTTAATATTGAAAATGGCCCTTAGAATAACAAATGAAGAATGTATTCAAGCAGAACATTTACAACGTGTTTACAACGTGAATGTTGAAAATACAATCCTCTCTGTGAACATAAAATACTGAAATAACCTTCCAGAAGTACATTACCAGGGCTTGTCAGTTTTACCAATAAAACCTCCCCTAAAATTCTAAGTACCGCATTAAACCAATTGGGCGTAACTTCGACATGAAGATAACCATGTATCCATTAAGATATAATAACCGGGTGTTATATAAAGTATACTTGTAAATTTCCCTGTATTAATTTATTTTTGCTTTGTTATAATAGATGTATAATCACGCTAATTACTGTGATATTTTATGGATTGTTAAGTGATTTAACTTGTGATTTTCTCTTCACACGCGGTCTGTCATTGGTAGGTCGTGCCATCGTGGCCAAACAGCCGTCTTGGGATCTTTTCGAGCCACCTCCACGGCTA